TTCCGTTTCTCGGCGGGGTCGGGGCGGCGTTTTTGGGGCGGTTTTTGGGGATTTTGGGCTCGGGGTGGGGGTCACTTGAGGCAGCGCTCGAAGTAGGTGGCGCCGACGTAGCCGCCGCGCAGCGAGCGCTGCACGTTCTGCTCGAACAGGCGCCGGTTGCTCTGCAGCACCTCGGCCGCCTCCTTGTTCAGCGGGTCCTCGGGGTTCGGCTCCTGGGGGGACACGGGGGTCGGGGGCAGTCCTAAGGATCCCCTCAGGGCCCCGAAATTCCCGCAAAATCATCCCAAAATCCCCCCAAATCCCCTCACAGCCCCGAGAGTGCTGTGAGTCCTAAGGGATCCCCTCACAGCCCCGAAGTCCTCATAAAATCCCACAAAATCATCCTAAAATCCCCTCACAGCCCCCAAATCCTCCTAAAATCCCACAAAATCATCCTAAAATCCCCTCACAGCCCTGAAAGCGCTGCGAGTCCTAAAGGATCCCCTCACGGCCCCAAAATCCCTGTAAATCCCACAAAATCCCCCAAAAATCCCACAAAATCATCCTAAAATCCCCTCACAGCCCCAAAATCCCTCTAAAATCCCCCCAAATCCCCCTAAAATCCCACAAAATCATCATAAAATCCCCCCAAATCCCCTCACAGCCCCAAGAGCGCTGTCAGTCCTACAGGATCCCCTCAGGGCCCCGAAATCCCACAAAATCATCCCAAAATCCCCTCACAGCCCCGGGAGCGCTGTCAGTCCTAAAGGATCCCCTCACGGCCCCAAAATCCCACAAAATCATCCTAAAATCCCCGCACAGCCCCAAAATCCCCCTAAAATCCCACAAAATCCCCCTAAAATCCCACAAAATCCCCCTAAAATACCACAAAATCATCCTAAAATCCCCTCACAGCCCCGAGAGCGCTGCGAGTCCTAAAGGATCCCCTCACGGCCCCAAAATCCTCATAAAATCCCACAAAAACATTCTAAAATCCCCTCACAGCCCCAAAATCCCCCTAAAATCCCACAAAACACCCCCAGAATCCCCTTACAGCCCCAAAATCCCCCTAAAATCCCACAAAATCATCATAAAATCCCCCCAAATCCCCTCACAGCCCTGGGAGCGCTGTCAGTCCTACAGGATCCCCTCACGGCCCCAAAATCCCACAAAATCCCACAAAATCCCCCCAGAATCCCCTCACAGCCCCAAAATCCCCCTAAAATCCCACAAAATCCCCCTAAAATACCACAAAATCATCCCAAAATCCCCTCACAGCCCTGAAAGCGTAAGTCCTAAAGGATCCCCTCACGGCCCCAAAATCCCACAAAATCCCACAAAATCATCCTAAAATACCCTCACAGCCCCAAAATCCCCCTAAAATCCCACAAAATCCCCCAAAAATCCCACAAAATCATCCTAAAATCCCCTCACAGCCCTGGGAGCGCTGTCAGTCCTACAGGATCCCCTCAGGGCCCCGAAATCCTCATAAAATCCCACAAAATCCCCCTAATATACCACAAAATCCCCCCAGAATCCCCTCACAGCCCCAAAATCCCTGTAAATCCCACAAAATCCCACAAAATCATCCTTAAATCCCC